GACAGTTCACGTGCTCATCTGCCCCTCGTCTCCTGCTGTTCGGCCCGGTTCCTAACAGGCCACCGACCAGCACGAGGGCTGGGGACTCCTGCTGCATGTCAGAGAGAGCCTGGACTCTGGTCCCGTCATCGTCAAGGCAGAGGCTGAGAAACCCCCTTGTCAGCCTGTTTTTGAGAAACAAAATCACTCTCCGACACCAACAACAGAAAGGCGGAGAATGATCTTGGGTCGTTTGTATGGGACACAGTTAAAATCCTACCCGGCCGTACTTAGTCGGGGGTGGGGGGGTGGGGTGGGGAGGCCGCTGCCATGCCCATCTGTGGTTTCCAAAACCATCATCCCTACAGCTCTGAGGAGGGTGAAAATGTGTGTTAAGGGTGTTAAATTCATTCTCTACCCTTCTGTGTTACACTGGATATTACGGATCAAAGACCATGCTCAGAGTATGGTCAAATTGATTGATCTATGACCTTTTTCAGTTTGAGATTTTTGCCTTTGGCCACAACATTAGAGACTTTTTTAAACAAATGCCAGGCACAGCCTGTGGGAGCTCCACATTGTCCTCTGGTTGGTTCCCTCCCTGCCGAGTCTGCTCTGGTTCCTTGAGGTTCTTGGAATGGCTGCCTCACCTCTTTTCAAAATCCCTCAGTCCCAGGCCATGCTCATCCGGTTCCCCCTGGTTAGACCGCCCTTTCTCTCCCCGAGTGGACTCGCTCCCTCATCCTGCAGGTCTCAGCTTTGATGTCACCCCCTCCAGGAAGCCTCCATGATATACCCCGCTCACACAGACTGATCAGTTTCTCTCACAGGGCTGCTTGATGGCGGGCTCTCCCCCTGGCTCAGCCCCAAGCAGGGCGTTCATGGAGGAGAGATCGATGGGCAAGTTCCTTTTTCTTCCAGTTTCCCCACCCTTCCTGTTCCTCTGTCCTGGGCAGTTTTCTCCTGACTCAGACCTTCCGTCTCCAACTTTCCTTCCATTTCTGGCCAGACCATCCAGATGCCCAGCTTTCTTCCTCCCTCCAAGAGCCCCTGCTTCCCTTGGAAGCCTCTTGTTCACTGGATGCTTTTTTCTCTCCTGACTCGCTGTAGCTGGTCCCCCCCACGTCTCTGCTCCTTCCACCCAGGCCTGAGCCTTCGTCCTCTCTGCCCATCCGAGACCTTCTCCCAGGCCCTTTGGCCGCCCGTCTCCTGGCCCACCGGAAACGATCCTGTGTCGGTGGCAGGGCCCAGCTGAGGACGTGCAGAGAATGAATGGGGGGGGTGTGGGCAAACTGAGCCACTTCCTGTCCCCCTGCCCTGCCTTGTCCTCCTTTCCAAGAAGGCATGTGTGTGCAGAATGAAATCATATTAAAAATCCCCGCCAGGATCCCAGCTTCAGGGCAAGTCAGTGACGTGAGCGGGGAAAGAGCTTTCCCTGACAACCCGAGAAGTAGCAATAATCCTCTGTGGTTGGTAGAATGTCCCCTCCACCAAAAAAAAAAAATCCACATCCTGATCTCCAGAACCTCTATGTATGTTACATGGCAGAGCTCAGCTCAGGGCGTGCTCAGCCATGTCCAACTCTGTGTGACCCCATGGACTGGAGCCCGCAGGACTCCTCTGTCCATGGGATTTCTCGGGCAAGAATACTGGAGCAGGTTGTCATTCCCTTCTCCAGGGGATCTTCCAGGGATCAAACCTGAGTCTCTGGTGTCTCCTGCATTGGCAGGCAGCTTCCTTACCACTGTGCCATCTGCAGAACTGGCAGAGTCTCTTTGCACATGTGATTAAGTTCAGGATTCTGAAATAGACCTGATGGGGGTGCGCCTGATGTAATCATCATGAAAGTCCTTATAGGGAGGAGACAGGAAGTCAGAGGGAAAGAGCTGAGCTGCTGGCTGGGACGAGGAGGCAGGCACCCCATGCCCAGGTGTGTAGGCGTCTTTAGATGCTGGGAGAGGTGGGAACAGAGTCTGCCCTGGAGCCTGAGGGCCAGCTTAGACTTCTGACCTCTGCAGCTAGGAGATGTGAGGTTCGTGTTATTTCAAACCACTCGTTTGTATTCACTGGTCACAGCAGCCACAGGCAGTCCTACAACTTCACCCCGAGTTTACGTTTGAGTCCAGACACATTGGGAGGCCAGCAGTGGAGCCGAGGTTGGGGAATGAAGCGTTTTAGGAGGATCCCATTGGCTGCCATGCAGGTGCTTAGTTGTCAGGGAACAAGGGTGGAAGGAAATGGGGGGAGCAGGGAGGGGGCCCCGGCGATGGTCACTTGTGTGGGTCAGAGGCCGTGGTGATGGATAGTGTGGATGGATGACTGCACACACATCCCAGGAGTGGGATGTACATGACACATACCTGATTGGACCTGGGAGCATGGAGGAAAGGGGATCAGGGATGATTCCCATGTTTCTGGTCCTTTCTTGGGGTGGGAGCATCGAAGGGAAGGATCCGGATTTGACAGAGCCCAGACCAGTGCCCAGGTCTCTTACCACTTCCCAACTGGCGCCAGTGGTAAAGAACTTGCCTTCCAGTGCAGGAGATGTAAGAGACGCAGGTTTAATCCCTGGGTCAGAAAGATCCACTGGAGGAGGGGTTGGCAACCCACTCCAGTGTTCTTGCCTGGAGAATCCCCATGGACAGTGGATCCTGGCGGGCTGTGGTCCACAGGGTCGCAAAGAGTCAGACACGACTGAAGTTGCTTAGCATGCATGCATGTACAGACCAGTGCCATGGTTTGGAGTAGGGATGGGGGAGGGAACCAAGGCAGATTGGGAGGCTGTGGTCTCCAGGAGGGCGTTTCAGCAGGTCCAGATTGTTAGATGTGGCTTGGATGGAAGAGGCAACAGTCCCCCGTGATCAAGCGCTGTTCAGTGAGCTCCTGCTGTGGACAAATTCTGTAAATTGTAAATCTTACGATTGTGTGGGGAGGAAGTTTGTGTGCATATTTCAAGGCTGGAGCTTATGTTTGGCCATTTGAGGGTGTCACTTTGACTGCATTTTGTGGGAGAGGGAAACTGAACCTATTGCTACAAACAGGTCACCCCAAAACATAGCAGGCTTAAGGAAGAATGAACATTTACTGTCTCACACCATGTCTCTGGGTCAGGGATCTGGGATGGGTCTGGCTCGGCGGTTCGGCTCAGGGTCTGTCATGGCTGTAGTCATCTGAAGGCTTGGCTGGGGGCACAGATCTTCTTCCATGTTGCACATGGTGGGCGTGACTGTGCTGGCTGTTGGCAGGGTCTCACCATGGGGGCTTCTCCCGAAGGCTGGTTGAGTGTCCTCATGACCTCGCGGTTGGCTTTGCTCAGAGTGAGTGATTCACGGCAGGGCAGGACAGAAGCCATGATGTTTTCTGCAACCTAATGTTGCAGGTGACAACTCTCTCCATTTTTTGACAAAGTTGTGAAGTCATTTCTCCAATATCCTGTTCTGAGTGGGAGGGGACTTCACAGGGGTGCGTTGGAGAGTTCTGATTTCTCAACATCCCTGAAACCTTGTTATCTGACTTTTTGATGATAGCCACCCTAGTGGGTATGACGCAGTATTTCTTCCTGGTGTTGGTTTGCATTCCCCTGATGACGTAAAGAAGTTAAGCAACATTTCATGTGCTTATGCCATTCACATGTCTTCTTTGCACCTTTTAAAATTGGGTTGTCTTTTTTCTTACTGGCTTGTAAGAGTTCTTTTATTTCCTCTGCTTATCAATACAAGTCCTTTATCAGATTTTTGACTGGCAAATATTTCCTCCCATTCCATGGGTTGTCTTGTCACTTTCTTGGTAGTGTCTTTTGAAGCTCAAAAGTTTTTGGTTTTGATGAAGTTCAATTTATTTTTTCTCTTGTTGCTTGTCCTTTTGGTGTTGTATTTAAGTATCCGTTGCTAAGTCCAAGGTCATAAAGATTTTACCCCCTTGTTGCCCTCTAAGAATTTTACGGTTTTAGTTCTGTGTTAAGTCTTTCATCCATTTTGAATTAACTTTTGTATCCGGTGTGAAGTAAGGGTCCAACTTCATTGCTTTGCCTGTAGCTATCTAGTTTTTCAACACCATTTGTTGAAAAAACTATTCCTTTCCCATTGAATAGTCTTCACAACTTTGTCAAAAAGCAATTGGGTTTATTACTGGATTTTGAATTGGGTTGCATTGATTTCTGTTTATGCCCATCCTCATGCCTATCTCTGGGGTTTCCCTGGAGACTCAGACGGTAAAGAATCCACTTGCAATGCAGGAGATGTAGGTTTGATCCCTGGGTTGGGAAGATCCCCTGAGAAGGAAATGGCAACCCACTCCAATATTCTTGCCTGGGAAATCTAATGGATAGAGGAGCCTGGTGGGCTACAGTCCTTGGGGTCACAAAACAGTCGGACGTAACTTAGCGACTAAACAATAGCAACATGCCTGTCTTGATTATGGTTGTCCCATAGTAAGTTTTTACCGAAGTTTAAACTCTGGGAGTTGGTGATGGACAGGGAGGCCTGGTGTGCTACAATGGGGTCGCAAAGAGTCGGACACAACTGAGCAACTGAACTGAACTAAGTTTTGAAATTGAAAAATGTAAATCCTCCAACTCTGCTTTTCTTGTTGAAATTGTTTTGACTCTTTTTGATCCCTGGAGTTTCCATATGAATTTTAGGATTAGCTTGTCCAAGAGCTTGGATTCTGATAGAGATTGCATAGATTCTGTAGGTTACTTTGTGACTGGCATTCTTCTGTGCCCTTCACAAGTAAGTCATTTAATTTTCACAAAAGCTCCAGGAAGCAGGTCCTACTTTTCCACATTGTACAGATGAGGAAACTAAGAGCTAGAGAGGTTAAGACACTTGCCTAAAGTCACACAGCTGGCCGGGGCCCTGAGTCTGTGGTCGTCACCGCCATGCTCAGCTGCTTCTCTGCAGTGACTGGCTTTCCCCGGGGGGTCCAGGCCTCCCTGGGGGTGGGCTTCTTCGGCCTCCTCCCCTCTAGTGGGCTGAGGGTCTGGCAGACCCCGGAGCTGCTCCTCACTCCTTGTGTTCCAGGCAGCCGATGAAGATCGTGTACTCCTCCAAGGACCCCGCCAAGCCCAAAGGGAGCTCCAAGGTGGATGTGAACGAGGAGGCCGAGGCTCTGATTGTCAAGTCCCCCCAGAAGGAGCGGGACCCGTCCCTGTTCAAAGTGTTATACAAGACCTTCGGGCCCTACTTTCTCATGAGCTTCTTGTTCAAGGCTGTGCACGACCTGATGATGTTCGCCGGCCCAGAGATCTTAAAGTAAGCTGCCCCTCACCCCCCCCAATCTTCAGCTGGGCAGTCCTTTGCGTCCTTGACCTTCTACTTGCGACACCCCTCACCCTCCCTTGGGGTCACACGCTCAGGGTTCTCTGGGCTCAGAGCCAAGTCTCCCCATCCTCACCCGCTTTGCCTGGTGCTTTGCTTTAAGAAGCCATCGTAAAGTCCTGTTAAACCACGATGGTTATAAGAAACAGAAACCTACCAGGCTCCCCTGAAGCCAGAAGGGAGAAGATGGAGGCTTATCTTGGGAAGTCAACAGCAGGGATGCAGGTAAGGGAGTTAGAGAAGGCGAGGTTCGGGAAAAGAACGAGACCGGCACTTTACAAGAACAGATCACCTTTAATGAGGCGAGAAGGGGCAGCAGTCAGATTAGGGAGCTGCTGCACTAACCCAAGAAAAGAGTAAGGATATGTAGGCATGTCTGTGGAAATCTGCTGTCTTAAGGGGCCTATTCTCCAAGGTTGTTCGGATTAGTTATCTCTTGCTGGGCAAGGAATTAATCAACCTTACTGTGCATTTTTTCCTTCGGGTGTGAGAGTTCTTTGTTTTGCATAGAATGGGGCGTGTGAGAGTTCTTTGTTTTGCATAGAATGGGGGGTGGACCCAGAGGAGAATTTTAACTCCAGGCTATTCTGAGCCACCTTAACTTTCCTTCAAGGGAAGTTTCAGATTGTGGGAAAGCTGCTAGCTGAAATAGGAAGGGAGGTTTACCTCTGTTTACCTCCCTCCCTCTCTCCATCTCTGCTTCTCTCTCTTTAGGGCCATGCGTTTGTTCTCTTTCCCTTCTTCTCTCCGCCCTGTGCTCCCTTTTGGGTCCCTCTTGGGTGATGAGGTGGAGCGGTCAGTGTGAGGGCTTCACCCTTGCACGGGCAGCCCCGTGTGGGTTGGGCTTCCCATCTGTGAAACCAAAGCAAGTGTCCCCAACTCACTCGGCTGGCTCGGGAGAGTGTCACCTGCTGACACCAGAGGGCTTACCCACTGCGTGGACACGTGTTGTAAGGTCTCTCACGCTGGGTTCTGTCCTTGCTGCCCCGCAGGTTGCTCATCAACTTCGTGAACGACAAGAAGGCCCCGGACTGGCAGGGTTACTTCTACACGGCGCTGCTGTTCGTCAGCGCCTGCCTGCAGACCCTGGTGCTGCATCAGTACTTCCACATCTGCTTCGTCAGCGGCATGCGCATCAAGACGGCTGTCATTGGGGCCGTGTACCGGAAGGTGGGGGGCGGCCCACCGTGGAACCCACAGGGCTCGGGAGGGCTTGGCCGGGTCACCTCTCAGGCCCAGCTTGCAGAGCAGTGGCATGAAGGTGGCCTGAATGTCTGTGGGTTAGCAGGCGGTGACCATCAGGCTTGATAGCTTAGCAGAGCTACTCCCAGAGGCTTGTCTGGGGTGGGGTGGGGGGGCGCCCAGGAGCCCCCCCCCCGTCTGGTCTGCTGCAGGTAATTGCATTTCTTGATTTGGGACGATCCAGGTTCAAATCCTCGCCTACTGTTAATATTCTGTGTGTGAGCATGTTCTGACTCTCCATCTGAACCAAGAAGATGGTACCTTCCCTGGGTGAGAGACGCTCAGCACGGACAGCCTTAAGGGAACTGAATTACCTCCTCGGTCCCTTCATTTCTTAGCCTCTGGGCCCCACAGGTTAGGAAGAGGCTTTTGGGCAACTGGTGGGGAAAGATGGATTTGATCGTTGACTCTTAGCCCTGTCTGCATGTTAGACTCACCCAGAGAGCTTCAGAAACTTCCAAGGACCGGGCTGCACCCAAATCAAGTCAGAATCTCTGTCAGGAGTTTGGGGGGCTTGGCATCAGTATTTGTAAAACTCCCCAGGTGACAGCATGAAGCCATCAGGAACCAGGGTGGGTTTATCCCTCCAGGACATGTTGGCAATGTCTGGTTGTCATAACTGGGGGTGGGGGGTGGGGGAGGGTGGGCGTGTATCTAGTGGGTGGAGACCAGGGATGTTGCTAAACGTCCTGCAGTGCTCAGGACAGCCCCCCAGAGAACCATCTGACCTCAGGTGTCAGTAGTGTCACGAATGAGAAACCCTGGCTGAGACTTTGGTCCTTCAGGGTGAAGTGGGGATCAGCAGTGTCAGCATCTCCTGGGGGCTTGTTAGCAATGGATAGTCCCCCTCCAGGTTACTGAGTTAGAAATTGCATTATAACAGACTCCCTGGGGGGTGTGTGTGTACACGTACACACTCAAGTACATGAAGCCTGGGTTTAGGCAACCTCTGAGGTCCCTTCTGTATTGAAGAGCTCAGGATGGGGGGAGGCAGTGGGTGCTGTCGATAAGAGAGGGGCCTTTTGATGAGACACAAGGGCTGGGAAAGCAGATAAGCCACCCGGGGAGGAGAAAGCAGCGACCTCTCCGCTGGTGCGCTGTCTCCTTCCTCCACGTGGGCCTGGACGGGGGCCCTGGCTGTCCCCCGCCACACCCACCCTCTCCCTCTTCTTCGTCCCGCAGGCCCTGGTGATCACCAATGCGGCCAGAAAGACCTCCACGGTCGGGGAGATCGTCAACCTCATGTCCGTGGACGCCCAGAGGTTCATGGACCTGGCCACGTACATTAACATGATCTGGTCAGCCCCTCTGCAAGTCATCCTTGCCCTCTACCTCCTGTGGCTGGTGTGTGTTTGATGTCATATCCGTGGCGCATGGGGAGGGACCTCCATGTGTGGGCAGCGGGGGGCGAGGGAGGGGGTCCCAGGGATAAGAACCTCTGTAGCTCACTGGCATTTCTTTAAAAAAAAAACACTTTTATTTTGTATTGGGGTATAGCTGATGAGCAATGTAGTGATAGTTTCAGGTAATAGCAAAGGGACTCAGCCATACATGTACATGTATCCATTCTCCCCCCAACTCGCCCCCCTCATCCAGGCTGCCACATAAACTGCTTGCTGGCATTTATTGCCACCATGCACATTTTATTTTCTGGCCTGTCAGCCAACTCCTGGATATTTTGTTCCTTTCTTCAGTTGTTGGGTCATGTTCTCTCAGGTAGCATGGTATTTATTTGCACGTGTCTCTTCTTGACAGTGTGTGTAGTTAACCACCCTGTAACGTATCCATTGTATGTCTTCCTCTGAGTCTTCCCAAACACTCAGCAAACTCATTTATTCATGAGTCCTAGATTATGTTGGTCTTTTGGTTGCAGGGGGTAGAAGTGCATTTTAGAGCAACATAAGCAAATGAGGGAATTTTATGGGTGTGGGTGACTGAAGAATCTTGGGGATTGGCTTCAGGTATGGATGGATCTGGGAGTTCAAGCAGTGCTGTAAGGACACAATCTCATGCCCTCATCATTTCTTAGCTTGGTGTTTCTCTGAGTTGACTTCATTCTCAATGGGATTTCTTCACACGGCTTCCATAGCTTTGGGTTTATATCATCTTCACAGGTGTTGGTGCTAGACAAAAGAGAAGATACTCCTTTCCTTTTTGTCTCAGTCAGACTCCCAGGGAGCACTGTGGCCCAGCACAGTCCCATTCACATTCTTTAAAAAAATCAGGGTGAAATAGCATTCTCCGATTGGCCAGCCTGGGTCATGTGCTCTCTCTCATTGTGAAAGGGGTGTGATTGACAGCCCTTCCACATGGGGAAGGGCAGTTCCCCAAATATGAAGATGATGAGCAAAGATGCTCATAGCCTGATCCATGCCTTACTCTTTCTACCTCTGGGCCTTTGCACATGCCTTTCCTTCCACCAGGAATTCCCTTTCCTCCCTACTGATGAAAATGACTTCCAGACTATCCCAGACTTTAAGACTGTGATAAATACCACTTCCACATACCAGTCCACTTCATGGACTTCTTCATCAGGCAGGTGTCTTGGGGCATCTACTTCCCCAGAAAGTGCTGTCGTGGAACAGTCCTTTTAGAATTGCCTTCAGGGTTGATTTGTGAACCACTGAGAAAATGGCTTTATTTTAAATGAGAGTTGCTGAAAGTGTTATTGACATATGAGGCAGGATAATTCTTCATTGTTGGGGGCTGATGTGTGTATTGTACTATGTTTAGCTGCATCCCTAGCCTCTCCCCCAGAGATACCAGTCACATACCACCTCTTCATCCCCACACTCCCACCACCACTTGTGAAAAGGTCTCCAGACGTTTTCAGATGTTCCTTGGGGGAATATGCCTCACTGGTTGGGAACTGCTGCTTTAGACCAAAATCAAGCTTCAAGAACATAGGATAACAGGCAACAAGATGGCTCTGAAATAGGGCTGCCCTGGTTCAGATCCTGCCTCTTGCAGCTCTTATGGCTTAACGTCACGATGTCTTGATGTCCTCGTCTGTAAACTGTTGACAGTCAGGAAACATCACTGCAGTGATTGAGTTCAGGACAGTTGAATGAATTGCTGCAGGTAGTGTGCCCTGAGCAGTACGTGGTACAGAGATGTGTCCCGTGTCTTTTAGTTACTATGATTTACTTTCAGAGTTGATTCTGAGTGCTTCAGATCGTTGGTAGAGATCACCTTCATTCTTAGAGGTGGATTAATCTTCACTGAGCAGAGCTCCATCACAGAAAACATTTGGAGCAGCTGTTGTTCAGTTGCTCAGTCATGTCCAACTCTGTGACCCCATGGACTGCGGCATGCCTGGCTCCCCTGTCCTTCACCATCTCCCAGAGCTTGCTCAAACTCATGTGCATTGAGTCAGTGATGCCATCCAACCATCTCATTCTCTGTCATCCCCTTCTCCTCCTGCCTTCAATCTTTCCCAGCATCAGGATCTTTCCAGTGCATTGCTTCTCTGCATCAGGTGAACAAAGTACTGGAACTTAAGCTTCAGCATCAGTCTTCCAATGAATATTCAGGGTTGATTTCCTTTAGAATTGTCTGGTTTTATCTCCTTGCTGTCCAGGTGACTCTGAAGAGTCTTCTCCAGCAACATAGTTTGAAATCATCAATTCTTTGGCACTCAGCCTTCTTTATGGTCCTACTCTCACATCCATACATGACTACTAGAAAAATCATAGCTTTGACTAGACAGATTTTTGTTGGCAAACAGATAGTAGAGCAGTAGCTTGGAGCAGTAGCGCAGCTTTTTGGTAACTAGGGCTGGAACACCCAAGGGTGACTCCTTGTAAGGGACTAATATGCTTACACTGTAGTTCCGGCCATCTGTCTCAACTCAGTGCATATACACTGGGCAGACTCCTCAGGCTGTCTCTTCTGATGTGTGTAACTTGCAAGTTGAAAAATGTCAATCAGTATCTTGCCTCAGTCATGATCTCTTAACCTTTCTGAGGTGCAGTTTCCTTAATCTGCAAATGGGACTATAGAACAGTCTATAGCTTCTTATCTACAAGTCCTTGTATCAAAAAGCTCTAAAAACCAAAAGTGTTTCTTAACTCATTTAGTGGCAAGACCTGACCTGAACAGATGTGTGATTTATCATCTTGATTATCCCTCTCAGTGGGAATTTTCCCATTTGCTACTGAAAAAAAGCATTGCATTTGCTTATGGAATGCTGCGCCAGGGTCTGATGGGGTGCAGTATATAGGCATATCCACCTATGTCAGGGGGTCCTAGGACTCCAGCAGGTTCATGATTTGCTAGATTCACAAAGGTTGGAGGGGAACCAGGGACAAGCTTCCAGGAGTCCTCTCACCCTCGAGTCACACAAGAGGTACTTAATTCCCCAGTTTGGACAATTGTGACAACATGTGTGAAACATTACCAGCCAGGGAAGCTTGGGAGAGACCCCCCGAGTCCAGGATTTTTATTGGGGTCTGATCACACCAGCAGCCTCTACCTGGCACAGATCAAACTTCCAGACTTCCAAGGGGAAAAAGACTTAATCGGCAGAAGCCATATTGTTTGTACAGTTTAGGCACAGTGAGTCAGTCTTATATCAGTTCTGACAATTTTGGGAGCCCTCCCCAAACCCAAGCACCCAGACCCCAGCCAGGGGCCTTTGAACAAGACAGACCATCAGGTGGGCGTATTCACTATTTTCTGTTTCACATCCCGTTACCTTTCTGAAATCCTTCAGTTCTCATTTGCAAAACCCACCCTGTTGGTAGAAACCAATACAGTACTGTAAAGCAATTATCCTTCGATTAAAAATAAATAACAGCAACAACAACAACAAAAACTCCAACCTGGGGTCTCAAGGGTTTCAGATAAAGGACCGTGGCCTTAATATTCTTATGGAGTTTTTGGGGCCCCGAGGGATGCTCCGGGATAAATCTGAAAAGTGGAACAGCTGCATGGGGTGGCTCAGCCTGGGGAGGTCCTGTGGTGAGGCTTTGTTCTTGTTCCTCCCGTAGAACCTGGGCCCCTCCGTCCTGGCAGGGGTGGCCGTGATGATCCTCATGGTTCCCCTCAATGCTGTGATGGCCATGAAGACCAAGACCTACCAGGTAGGGGGGTGTCTCCTTGGGGCTCCAAGCCGGGCCCCTGCCTGAAGCCTTTCCAGTGAAGTGTTGGCTGCCTTCCTTCTGCACAGGCCGTGGGGACCTCAGCCTTGCCTGCCTGTGGGAATCCTCTGGGGCGCTTTCATAAATGCTGGTCCCCACGCCCCATTCCGGGAATTCTGAGTCACCTGATAATGGGTGGGTCCTGGGCATCAGGGGTTTTTAAAGCTTCCCACTGGGGCCTCCAAGGTTGAGAGCTCCTGAAATAGACCTCGTGGGCCAGTGTCTGAAGCTGCATCTGTGGACGTCTGGGAGATTCCTCATTTCCCACGGGTTCTATTCCTTTATGCGGGTGTGCACTGTCCAGGGCTGAGCAAAAACCACCCCTTGCTTTTTTCCCCCCTTACGCTGGTCACAGTGCTCAACTTCTTAACTTTCAGAGCTACTTAGTATTTTAAGTTTTGAAATAGTCAAGTAACAGAGTGAATGTCTTCTCCTTATGTTTAAAAAGTTCAAATAATACAGAAGTGTAGGGCCTGTCCCCTTCCCTGTCCTCTCAACCACAGTGAACACACCGAAGCAAATCTTGTAGAACTTTCTGTGTGTTTATGTAGAGATCAGACTCACTATGTAGTTAGGCTGGGCGTGTATAAGTGTGTGCGTTGCGGTGCTATCACCATATATATTTTAACACACGCAGGCCCTTTTGGCAGCATGATTTTGTCGTTTGATGCCATGCCTGGGGGATCTTCCTGTGGCATGCCATGTGGTCTGACTGCATTCTCTGGAGCTCATGTCTAATGGTCCATAACAGAGATGGGCTGGAGTTCTTTTTTTTTTTTTGCTCCTCCATTGATGGCTATTTATGATGTGCCCGTGGAATTTCAAATGAGAGAGCTTGGCTGCCCTGATGATGCTATAGGAGAGACAGGTTCCAGAACGTGGGCCTGGTGGGATGAGGTTTGGGAGGGTAGGGGGGTGATTATGGCCTTTCATCTTCTTCCCTTGAATGGCCCACCTCCCAAACAGTTTCAGTCTCTGGCCTTGACCGCGTGTTGCTTAACCTGTCCTGTTCTGTGACCCAGGAGTGACATAGCACTTAATGATAGGGCTCTTGTGAGCAGGACTAAATGCCCATGAAAAGCTTAGAAAAGTGTCTGGCTTAAGGAAAAGGCTAGGTCATATCAAAAATATTTAACAACTCTGTAGCACAGGTACCCAGTGGTCAGAACCAGTGCCGACTGGTACAGAAACACTTCAGTGTTGTAACAACCATGTACTGGCTGATAAGCAGTAAAGAAAATAAGAAAATGGAGGGGGAAAAAATATCATCTCTCATATTTGGATCAGCAGAGTAAGGCATGTGCCCCTTCCTCCCTGAAAGGGTGTACAGTTTTTCTTGCCTCTCTTCTAAATTTAAGAGGTTTTGCTAATAATGTCAAATCTAACGTGATTCGAAGCAATTTTTTGCCGTGAAAAATGAATCCTTTGGAGGGCTCTCAGGGTCCAGCGTCATGGTTTACAGGGATTGTTCACCGCTTTCCCACCCTCAGGAAGGCCCATTCTGAACAGATGGAGTTGTTGGTCTGGTGCCAGGGCCAGAAGTGAGCGGCCAACACTGTCCCCCCTACCCCCATGAGGTGTTGACCGCTTCTCTCTTCCAAGGTGGCCCACATGAAGAGCAAGGACAATCGGATCAAGCTGATGAACGAAATTCTCAACGGGATCAAAGTGCTGAAGCTTTACGCCTGGGAGCTGGCATTCAAAGACAAGGTGCTGGCCATCCGGCAGGAAGAGCTGAAGGTGCTGAAGAAATCTGCCTACCTGGCCGCCGTGGGGACCTTCACCTGGGTCTGCACCCCTTTCCTGGTGAGTGAAGCCGGATTTCTCCTGGCGCACACGGTCAGACGTTTTATCGCGTCGTCGTTGCCTAACTATTTTTCGGAAGTCGCTATTTCAGCACAGTCTTCTCCGACCACTCTTTTTAAAAGTACCACCCCTGCTCTGCCCTTTGTTTTATTCATAGCACTTGATAGCTCCCAGCCCAGGGCTGCCCGGAGTAGCCAGTTAGGAACTGTTTCAGGTTCACCATGAGCGGAGAAGTTTGTGCTGGAATGTAAGCCTCTGCTCTCTGCATCCTTCATCGAGAAAGTCTGCCTAAGAAACAAAAAAAGTCAGCAGAACTAAACTGCTTGCTTGGTTCCTTATTTGAGCCACTTGATGGTGTCAGTTCCTTATCTGTGGGCATCTGGTCACACACGGAGGGCTGGCAGTGACTTGTGGACCACATTTGAAGTGGCCATGCCAGACACGCTAAAAGTCACTTACTATTTCATGAATTGTCTTTCTCCACTAGAATGTCAGCTTTAGGAGGGCACAGATTTTTTTCTGTTCACTTCTGTATCCTAGTGCCAGAACCAGTGCATAAGTGGCCAACAAATACTTTTCATTCATTGAAAAAAAATAATTCACATGAAAAGTTATGAAATAAAAAGTAATAAAAGTATATTATCCTTCCATCTATCCCTTTCCTCCAAAATGACAGTTTTGTATATCTTTTTAGGGAAAAAAACGTTGATGTGTGTAGATATTTTTGAAATATTTATAATATGTTCAAAAGGAGTCATACTCACATGGTGTTCTGGGCCTTTGAATTTAGTATATAGCCGCTCAGTTCGTGCATTCAGGTCTGCTTCATCTGTTTGAACGATGTATTCTTGTCCGGAGCGTGGGTGTGCCATAGTGGACTTAACCCATGTCCCATGGCTGGCCTTTCAGGCCGCTCCTTGTTCTTTGCTGTCACTGAATGTCCTGATACACACGTCTTGGGTTACTGTAATGGGTCTGTTCCTAGCTGGCCATCCTTGAAAAGTTTAAAGACGGGAGTGTAAGTTGCTGTTTTCCCAACCTGGCCGCAAACCAGAGAACCATATAGAGAGGGACTGCGGAAGCCCAGTGGACAGTTAAACATGGTTAAGAATGACTTCAGATCATGCCCCGTCCCTCCATGCTTCTTTTTTCTTTCTGTCTTTGTATTATTAATTATGTCATTCTTTTTGAAAAATGTTGTGCTAGTAGTGAGTGTTACTTCTTAGTTAGGTTGGCAAATACGTATTCTTATGGGAAGTTCCTATGACCAAAACCACAATTTTCATAAATAAGAAACAGAATTTTCTAATAGGCTACCATGTGCTTCATCACAGTAGAGTTGCAGGTGGAATATTTAAGGAAGCTCCTGCTTTTTTTGATGTTTATCAAAGTATATTCATTTGGAGACTGGGTCGTGTTAGGCTCAGCTTGATGTCTCCTAGATTCTTAACCCACACACAAGGCAACTTGGTGGAAATCAGTGATGCCTCAGCTTGTGTAGGCCTCATGCTCACCTGCCGGCCTTGTTAAAGCCATGCTCGCTGGGCCCCACTCAGTTTCAGATCCAGTCTGTCTAGGAAGGCCCTGAGTATTCACATTTCTAACATGTTCCCAGGGGCTGCTGCTGCTGTGGGCCTGGGGTCCACGCTTTGTCCTCAGCAGTGGGGCCCATAGACCAGTAGCATCGGCATCACCAGGTTGCTTATGAGAAATACAGACTCTCAGGCCTCACCCCAGGCCAAGCTAAGACAGATCTAAATTTTAGCAATTGCCCCACCAGGGGATTTGTATGCACATTAAAGTTTGAAAAACATGGGCAAAAAGGAGGAGTGATCACAGTTTTCTGTATAGGACCACCCAGTGAATAATTTAGGTGTCCTTGGCCGTGTGATCTCTGTGGCAGCTGCTCATCTCTGCTAGTGTAGTGTGAGAGTGGCTATGGATGGGACTTGACCGGTGGTCCAGGGGTGAAGACGTCTCCTTCCAAAGCAGGGGGCACAGGTTCAATCCCTGTTCAGAGAACTGAGATTCCCATGTGCCTTGGGGTGTGGCCAAAAATTTAAAAAAAAAAAAAAAAAGGTAGGTATGGATAAGACAGAATGAATGGATATGGCTGTGATCCTATAAAAATTACTGCATAGACACTGAAATTTGAATTTTGTATACTCTACGTGTCATGAAATGTTTTTTTGGATCATTAAAAAATTTGGGGTTTTTTTAGATCATTTAAAAATGTAAAATCCATCCTAAGTTCATGGGCAGAGACATAGCCAGCTGAGTCCTGGCTTAGAGGAGTGGAATGTTATTCTGAGTGTCAGGACCCCTGCTGAATTCTCCTGCCAGCTCATGGAGTGACCTGTAGCCCCCTGCCTCTGGATCTTTGAGCAGGAGAGAGGAAGCGGTTGGAGCTTCCCTGGTGGCTCAGTGGTAAAGAATCTGCCTGCAATGCAGGAGACACATGTTGGATCCCTAGGCTAGGAAGATCCCATGGAGGAGGAAATGGCAACCCACTCCAGTGTTCTTGCCTAGGAAATCCCATGGACAGAGGAGACTGGCAAGGTACAGTCCATGGGGTCGCAAAGAGTGGGACACAGCTGACCATGAGTGTTTGGCTTGACTTGACTTTGATGGAGGGGTTAGGCCCCAGGGACGTGCGTGCGTCCTTGCCCTCTGCAGGCCCCTTGCCTCAGCCAACACCCCTGGACAGTCATGGTGCTCCCTCCCACTGAATTATGTTCAAACAGTCCTCGGGTGAATGAACACTGCCAGTGGACTGGAGTTGGCCCAAGCAGCAGCGTCGCTTAGCTGCTCTGGGACTGTGTGTTCCCTCGGATCCCTTCCGGCTCAAACTCACCCACATTCCAGGCTAGAAGGGTCTGCTGTCGCATTCTTTTCACACTCCAGTCTCCCCAGCCTTCTCCAGGTCCTTATGACTCTCTTTGTTTTGTTAAAAGTAAAAAATACAATACTGCATGGTAGTTTACAGGAGTTGTTCTTATTTTCTTCCAACTGTTCGATCCTGCCAGGCTCCTCTGTCCATGGGATTCTCCAGGCAAGAATGCTAGAGTGGGTTGCCATTTCCTTCTTCAGGGGATCTTCCCGACCCAGGGATCGAACCTACATCTCCTGCATCAAAGGCAGATTCTTTACTGTCTGAGCCACCTTCTGGAGGCTCAACTGTTCAATAGTCTCTATGCATTAAATACAACTGTTTAATAGTCCTTACTGTATATATGATGCATTTTATTTTAAAAACAGAAAGTCATGGATTTGTGTGGTGAAGATAGTTAAAGCTGTTCCAAAGAGTCTGCAGCTGAGCTTCTCAACTCCAGCGCTGCTGACATTTGCGACTGGATAATTCGTTGTTTCTCTGTGGGGAGCTGTTCTGTACACTGTAGGATGTTGAGCAGCATCCTTGGCCTTTCCCCACTTCATATGCCAAGTGGTACCTCTTCCCCCCATCTCCCCAGTTATGATGCTCAAAATATCCCCAGGTGAGAAGCACCTGTCTGCCTCCACAGGCCCCCATCACCCAGCTTCCTTGTCCATACCAATTTCTTCTGTGTATTTACGGAAAGAGCCTGCATGTATGTCAGCATAACATTGACTATATACAATAAATGTACTTAAATTGCTACATCTATGTTATTTACTTTCATACTAGTGATAGCAAATCACACAGAAATCCAAGATGTTTGGATTCCTTTTTTTTTTTTTCTCCTTTTTTATAAATAGGCAAAGATCTGAAGCCAGAGGGCTCAGGCAGGAAGCTTTCATCTGAGCTGTGTTACGCTTAGGACGAAGGGACCTTTCCCCATAATCCTTTGCTCTGCACATCGGATCCTCTGACAAAACCTGGCCGTTTCTAGCTAGTCACCCGGACTGCCAACCCTTTAAAGAATCATTTCCTGCCCTGGTCTCCCTTAGGAAAGCACAGCAGGAGATGCTTAAAGAGTATGACTGGCTTTTCTTGACCTTGAATTTGCCATTCAGCTTTGGGGTGATGGTGGACTTCCAGAGACAGGGTTGGTTGAGCTGTTCGTCATGAAACAGATGAGCCTGGGAGTCAGCCGGGGACCTTGACCCTGGCCGAGACATCTGCCTACATTAGGAGAAAATATGTGGCCTCTGGTTCCCTTGGAAGGTATTTGCATGTTCTTTCCACTGGTGGATTCCTGCACTTCAAGGATGATGACGTGTTTACCCGCCGGTAGGTGTGATGGAAGACAGAGTCCTGAGGAGGTCGGACAGGAATGGGGATGCCATGTGGCAGGATTGATGGGATTGTTTTTCTGGAATATAGAGCCTGGCATTTATCATGTCCTCATGTCCACCTAATGCACTTTCCTAAAATAGCATCCCCAGGCAGCCGTCATTATTTGGCATTTGCTATCTTAGAAGATTTGCAAGCTTCTTGTCATCTCTGTGCCTTGTCTGTCCCTGCTTTAGAATAATTATCTTCTATATGCTAATTACCCATTGTGCAATTCTCCACTGACCAGAACATACATGGCTCTTCTCTTTTATTGCTTATATCCCTGTAACATAGTGCATGGTAAGTTGCTTTAGTCGTGTCTGACTCTTTGTGGGTAGCCCACGAGGCCCCACTGTCCATGGGATTTTCCAGGCAAGAATACTGGAGTGGGTTGCCATTTCCTTCTCCAGGGGATCTTCCTGACCCAGGGATCAAACCTGCATCTCTTAAGTCTCCTGCATTGCCAGGCAGATTCTTTACCACTAGCACAACCTGGGAAGCCCCTGAAACATAGTGGACTCAGCAAATAGTACCCACTCATTAGGTGTATGTAGATTGACTGACTAAATGAATAGACTGAAGATTTGGATAAACTGTATTAGTTAGGAACTATCTTTCAAGTGGCAGAAACCTAACTTAGATCCACACGAGTAAAATAAAAAGAAGGGAGATTTTTGTGTCACTGAGAAGTCTAGGAAGGTGCTGGTTTTAAGCATGACTAGGGTTTCAGGCATGGCTGGATCCAGGTGCTCCAAAGATAACATTGGGTATAATTCCTTCTCTGTCTCCTACCTCTGCTTTCTCCATGGTGGTTTCTTTGTCAGATGCAAAGTCAACATGCAGTTACGATTGATCCTGTCATCTCAGTAACCACAATGAGGAGAGAGCTCCCCTTTTTCCATTAGTTCCCACAGCAAAGCTGTGGGGTTGAGTCTCATTGGTTACAGTTGATTGCGTGCTTGTCCCTAAATCACTGGAGTCAGGGAACAGGGATGCTTGGATTGGCCAGGCCTGGGTCATGTGACTTCTGTCAGAGATTAGGCTGTAATGTAGACCTTTGATCTGTGGCTGAACCTCATGGACTGAAGTTGGGGGAGGTTCAGCTCCCCAAAGGAAAACTAATGTGTTGTTACAACCAACAAGAGTGGATGCCAGCCAGGCAGAAGGAACAGATGTTCTCATGAAGAGATGGCAGGTTTTTAGGGGTTGGGCTGGGGCAGTTGGTTCAGTCATTTGCCCCATTTCTCAGTGTGGAGGGAGGCTCTGTTTTCACCCAGAGAGGTCAGTAGTTCTTCCTTGTTTGTGAAGGATTTTCCAAATCCTTGACCCTCACCGTTTGTAAGGCTGTAGCAAACCCCAGCTCCCCAGCCACGTCCACACACTGGCAGATGTCCCTGCTCGAGAGACCCTGGTTTAGTACCTGTTTCCCACTCAACTGTGAGTCTCAGGATCTCCAAGTCCGTCTTACACAGTGCCTGGCACACGGAGGGTGCCCAGTCAGTAACTGATGGATGAGTAAGTGCCCTCCACTTCTGGAGAAGTGGACGCTGTGGATCTGACAGGGGCCACGCGATGCGCTTCCTGTGCTGCCAGCAGTCACCCCATCAGTTGGGCCAGTGGAGCTGGGATATCCTGGTGACATGCCTGATTTCTTTGTTGTTGAAGAGACACCCCTGGGTGTGTGCTTTCCTGCAAATCCATCCACCCACTCACCCATCCATCTACTTACCTATCTCACGCATCCACTCACCCACCCAGAAACATTTTCTGGGTATCTGCCATGATCCAGGTGCTGTCCCAGGCACTGATGATAGAGCAGTGAATACTACAGGCAAAAAACTTCACCCTCGTGGGGTGTTCGTTCATTCATTCTAACTGGGAGAGATAGACAGTGCACATAATGAATGCATAAAGGATATATAGTATGCTAAACTGTCATAAGTGCAATGGGGGAAAAAAAAGGTTCTGGTTGGAGCAACAGGGAGGGTTTGCAGTTTTTAAACTGGATGATCACAGGACTTCCTTGGCGGTCGACTCCATGCTTCCACTGCATGGGCCACGGGTTCGATCCCTGGTTGGGGAGCTAAGATTCTGCACTTTGTGGCCAATAAAAAAGGATGATCCGAGACTTCACTGAAAAGGTGATACCCGAGTGTTAACTTGGTGGCAGTCAGGGGCCCGACATTGAGAAGGAAGAGTGAGTGCAGAGGCCCTGTGGCAGGACTGTGTCTGCCTCACAGAAGTAACCACAGAGGCCACGGGGCTGGAACAGAGGGAAGGAGCGGGGAGAGTGCTGGGCGAGGAGGGCAGACAAGTTCAGAGCAGGGACGTTTACCAATCAGTCGGATCTTGGGGTCTGTGGCTGTCAAGACTGTGGCTTCTATACTGAGTAAAATAGACTGATAATGGAGAGGTGATTTTTTAAAAACTTTTATTTTATTGATATAAAATTCACCACATTTATGTGTGCAGTTCAGTGGTGTTTATTGTATTCACAGGGTTGGACAGCCATCCCCACTGCCTAATTTCAGAGCACTTTCATCACCCAAGAAGGAAACCCTGTACTTACAGGAGGCACTCCCCATCCTCCAGCCCAGCGCATCCTCTCGTCTACCTTCTGTCTCTCTCGATGTTGTTCAGTTGCTCAGTCGTGTCCAGCTGTTTGCAACCCCATGGACTGCAGCAGACCAGGCTTCCCTGTCCTTCACCATCTCCCAGAATTTCCTCAAACTCTGTTCATTGAGTCAGTGATGCCATCCAACCATCTCATCCTCTGTCGTCCCCTTCTCCTCCTGCCTTCAATCTTTCCCAACATCAGGGTCTTTTCCAATGAGTTGCCCTTCACATCCGATGACCAAAGTATTGGAGCTTCAGCATCAGCATCAGATATTCAGGGTTGATTTTGATTTGCCTATTCTGGATATTTCATTTAAATGGGATCATATATAATGTGTGTGGCCTTCATGTCTGTCTCCTTTGATTTAGCATCAGGTTTTCAGGGTTCATCCATGGCGCAGTGGGCGTCAGCACTTCGGTCCTTTTTATGGTTGAATCCTGTTCCTCTGTGTGGATGTGGTGGGGGAGTTGTGAGTGGGGAGACTCTCCAGGTAGGAGGCGAGTGTGGTATCAGAGCCTGGGGGAGGAGAGTCAGCATGCGCAGTCGTCCCAGGGATCGGGTGTTGGTGGCTTTTGAGCACCTAACCTCCCTCTTGGCCACAGATCCTGGAAAATTTCTGTGCCTTCCCTCAGGGTCACCTCCCTTGTTAATGTCAGAACCTGCTCTGCTTTCCAGTGCCCTGTTCTTGGTGGTTTGGTTGCTAAGTTGGGTCCCACTCCTGCGAGTCCGTGGACTGCAACCTGCCGGGCTCCTCTGACCATGGAATTCTCCAGGCAAGAATACTGGAGTGGGTTGCCATTCCCTTCTCCAGGCAATCTCCCTGACCCAGGAATCGAACCTAGGTCTTCTGCATTGCAGGCAGATTCTTTACTGACTGGGACTCGGTTAATAGATTCTTTGGAAAAATAGTCCAAGGACTTTGAACTGAGTCCTGAAACAAGAAATAAAACAGCCTCCATCTACTGCATTTTACTGTTCCCCAGGCATAGGGTTAAGCACTCTTCACTAGTGCCTGGTTCCTTGCTGCCAGAAGCCCTGTGCGTGCTTATCCTGATTTCCCATTTCATAGATGCGAAAACAGAGGCTCCCTTGGAGAGGTGAGGTGACCTTACTGCCCAGGGTCACACAGCTGATAAACAGGCAGAGCTTATGGGTTTAATGTTTAAGATGTACGCCCTTAAAGAAATGAGGCAGTTGAGACCCTGAAAATACCCTGAACCTCAGCCACACCAGAATCTTGGCCACACTGGGATCTTCTGATTGCTGGCCATCTGCCCCGAGCTCAAGAATGAGGTCCCAGGCAGTTTATTTTCCCTCAGGGAAAGCCTTTAATGGCTCTTGGAGCCTGGGCTAATGTGGGGGTGGAGACTTGTACCCATCTGCTGGGTCCAAGGTTTTCCAGATTGCCTCGATAATGTGTCCCGGTGACCTCAGGGGGATGTTGTTAGCCTCGCTAGCAACACCTGGTACTGTGCTGGCGCCATCAGGGGTTAGGGCACAGAGAGACACCTGTTGATCTTTTCCCTTCTAAGCTGTGCAGCCCAGCCCTGGATTATTCGGGGTCTTTCCTTTTTCCTGGTGAGGGAGGGCCTACTATCTCAGACAGCTGAACCCAAATTGCAGTTGCCTGGGAGTTGAAATCCCAAGCCTCCCCACAGGACTTATGGCAAGTCTGATTTTGTAGGGAAGGGAGTAGGCTTCAGAGGACCCTTGGCTGTTTGTTTTTTCTTTTTTTTTTTTTTTTAAAAAAAAAGCCTATGTTCCTTTCCTGGGGGCACTCTGAGCTGGAAGGAGCTTTCAGCAGTGGCATGAATCCTCCATGTCCGCCCCCATTTCACAGATAAGACAGTAGAGGCTGGTGAGAGGAGGTGATTTGCCTGAGGTCTCAGGGCTCCTGTGTGCTGGGGGTCATTCTAGGCACTGAGGATACAGCCACATACACAAGTCCCTACCTTTGTGAGGTTTGCATTTCAGTGCAGAAGACAGACACTCAATATCTGTAATCTTACAATGTAAGGTGGTGATAGGTGTTATGAAGAAGAATAAACCAGAATGTAAGGATGATGCTGGAGAAGACTCTTGAGAGTCCCTTGGACAGCAAAGAGATCAAAGCTATGCCAGCAAAGAGGTCAATCCTAAGGGAAATCAACCCTGAATACTCATTGGAAGGACTGATGCTGAAGCTCCGGTACTTTGGCCACCTGATGGCAAGAGCTGACTCATTGGAAAAGACTCTGATGCTGGAAAGGGTTGATGGCAGGAGGAGAAGGGGGCAACAGAGGATGAGATCCTTAGGTAGCATCACTGACTCGATGACCGTGAACTTGAGCAAACTCTAGAAGATAGTAAAGGACAGAGGAGCCTAGTGTGCTGCAGTCCACAGGGTCACAAAGTCAGACACAACCTGGCGACCAAACAATAGCAACAAGGATGGAGAGCGGTCGCAGGGCTGTTGTGGGTTGGGCATCCTGTCAGAACAGGGAGAGACTGGATGGGAAAGTCGTTCTGGGCAGAGGGCACTGGCTCAGAGGTTTGATCTCTTGGTGACGCTGAGGGACCCCTTGAATGCCTGTTCAGTGTCCCGCGGAGAACGGTGGTGGGAATGGCCGGGACTTTTGGCTCCTAGCCATTGGTCTATCCAGTTCATTCTCTGGGTGTTTAGTGGGTGCCTGCTGTATGCTAGACTTTGTCTGGGTATGTGTCACTGCTTCTGTGACTGAGATGCTGACCTTGTCTGCTTGCAGGTGGCCCTGTCTACGTTTGCCGTCTACGTGACCGTCGATGAGAACAACATCCTGGATGCCCAGAAGGCCTTCGTGTCCTTGGCCTTGTTCAACATCCTCCGCTTCCCCCTGAATATCCTCCCCATGGTCATCAGCAGCATTGTGCAGGTACAGGCGAGACTGGGGGGTTTCAGGGAAGGGACTCTGGGGAAACAAGGCCAAAGGGCACGAAAGTCCCTTGGATGCAGCTGCCTCTGTGTGACTCGCCCCACTGTGCTCAGGGCGGGGGGGACGGTGATCGAGGCCCAGACCTTTGTAATTTTTTTGGTGCTGCCCTAAAGAGAGAGAGATGTTTTTATTTATTGACATACATGTTCAAGTGTATGTGTGTGTGTGCAAGCACGTGCTCAGTCATGTCTCACTCTGCGACCCCATGGACTGTAGCCCACCAGGCTCCTCCGTCCATGGGATTCTCCAGGCAAGACTACTGGAGTGGGTTGCCATTTCCTTCTCCAGGGGATCTTCCTGACCCAGGGATCGAGCCTGCATCTCTTGTGTCTCCTGCATTAGCAGGCGGGTTCTTTACCCCTGTTCTTTACCGTCTTTACCTGGGATGCCCCAGGTGTATGAAACAAAAGTTACTGCGGCTAGGCTTTCCTGAGCTCTGCAAGATTCTTTCTGAAACACTTGTTCCTCTTCTGTTCTAATCGAGTCTGTGCCACCCTGCCCTGTCGTACCAGGTCCTGTTTCTTACACCTCCAGCTACTTCATGTTGATGTATGACAGAAATCAAACCAATATTGTAATTGAAGCAATTATCTTTCAATTAAGAATAAATAATTTTTTTAAAAAATGCAGCCACTAAATTGGTTTTGCAACCCACTCATGGGCTTGGCTCACCATTTGAGAAATTCCAGCTGGATGCCCTTGAAGCCCCCAGCCCGGGCGGTGATTCTAAAGGAGAGGAAGCCACTCAGTCACACTTTTACCATCTGAATCTCCTGCACTTTCCTGCCCACGGCGTTTGTCACACTCTTCTCCCTAATTGTGCACACGCTTCCATGAAAACTGTATCATTAGCCACATTGACAAATAAGCCTTAAGGTTTCATTGTCCAAGCAAACCCTGGTAAAGGCTTTAAAAATAAGCCAGTAAAACCCCTTCTTATTATGACCCATTTCATGTGTATGCAGAAGTAGCGAGAACAGCTTAAGAATGCCGCGTGCCCATCACCCAGATCCAGCATTTTGCTGTGATTACTTCATCTGATCCTGTCTTCCTCCCTCCCTTCTTTCCTTTCTCTCTCTCTCTCTCTGCTGAAGAATTTTAAAGCAAATCCCAGATCTCTTGGCATTTCACCCATAAATATTTCAGCATGCATTTCTTCTTACATAAGTAACACCATTATCATACCTAACAAAAGTAACAGTAATCTCTTAAAGTAATATTTGTTCCATATTAAAATTTTCTGGATTATCTCTCAGAAATGTCCTTGCCATTGGGCTGTTTGAATCAGGACCTTTGCATTTTTTTTGTTTGTTTTTGTTGAACATATGTTCAATACATGCAGCGTGGTGATATGATACATGGACTTGTGGCACTGCTGTTACGACCATAGCGTCAGCTATACCTCGGTCACCTGTCACGGTTATCATTTGTTTTTTGTGGTGGGAGCCATTCAGTTCTCGTCTCTTAGCAGCTGTGAAGTTTATCCTACAGTATCCTTGGCCACAACCACTGTGTAGTGCATTCAGCCTCCAGGACACCTTTATCTCTGAGTATCTAGTTTGTCTTAAGCTAGACCGTTGCCTTCAGTTGTTTCTCGTCTCTTGTCAGCTAGGATGGTCCCCCGCCCTCCTCTGTAATTGCTGTGGGCTTTTTAAAGGAAAACAAACAAGAACCCAGGCCCATTTAATTTTTTTCTTCTGAGGCATCCGCTTGGGGTAGGAAATGCAGAAACTTCAGAAATAAGGGAGGATGTGGGCCCCTCTGCACCCAGGGGAAACCACTGTGAGTTAGCCTTGGTCTGTTTTTGCAAAAACGTGTTTAAAAATAATTGCAGCCTGTTGTTGCTCTCCGTGCAGGCGAGCGTCTCCCTGAAGCGCCTGAGGGTCTTCCTGTCGCACGAGGAGCTGGACCCTGACAGCATCCAGCGCCGGCCCATCAAAGACGGTGCGTCCGGGAAGCGTGGATGACCTACAGGCCTTCCCAGGAGGGTGAAAGTGCACCTCTCTCATCTTGTCTTAGGGCAAGAAGCAACCCCTCCCCGAGGGCCCCAGCTTCCGTTCCATTCTAGGCAAATGAGCAAGCTAAGGAAGTTGGAGACTCACCAAACCCCACCTCTTTAGCTGTGCCGCCTCAGGCAGGTCACTTCACTGCTCTGAGCCTCGCTTTCCCCATCTGGGCAATGGAAAGGACAGTGCCTTTCTTTTTTTTTTTTTTTAATTGGTAGATTTGTTATTCTATAGCTTATTAATTTATCCTTTCCCAGCGGACCCCTGAGCAGGGATCTCCAGGCACTCAATAAGAAATATTCATAGCACTAGTGGTAGTGACCGTTTTCGTTGTAATGTTGTCCTCTCCTAAGGACGTCACCATACTCACCTGTCCATTGCTCACCGCAGCTCACGGAGTGGGCTGTGGAAACCCCCCATCAGCAGATGAGGACGCTCGGCCGGGTAACTCGCACACCAGTAAGCAGTAGTCAGGATTCATACCCGCAGCCCGTCAGCACAATCTGTGTTCTCACCCACGGTTCAGCGTCTCCGCACTGAGATTTACTGAGCACCCACTGTGTGTCAGTCATTGTTCTAAGGACTGTCTGTGTTGCCTCATTTCTCTCCTCATGACAGCCCTGTGAGGTCGAGCCCATTAACAATCCCATTTTACAGATGAGGAAAGTGGGGCACAGAGAAGTTAAGTAACTTGCCTGTGCTTCTCCAGCTAGGAAATGGCCACATGGGGTTTGAACTCCCAGTAGATGCGGTCAGAGGAATGAATGGTGTGTATGCATGTGAGCGGTACGTCACTTGTACACACGTGAGCGTTGTAGCATGTGTATACGTGTGAGCGGAGCAGCAGGCATTCAGATGTCCTCAGTGGTGTGTGGAACACCCAGCACAGCACTGGCAAGCAAAGACCAAGGTAGTCGATACTCCCCGTGTCTGTGAGAGGCGGTCGGCATGGGGGGCCGCGTTCCTCAGCCTCAGCACCACCAACATTCGGGTCAGGGTCACTTTGCCGTGGGGACGTCCCGTGCGTTGTATTGAGTTGGCCAGAAAGTTCATTTGAGTTTTTCTGCATAACGTTATAAAAAACCCAAACAAACTTTTTGACCACTGCTATAGGCTGCTTGAGCAGCACCCCTAGGTGCCAGTAACACCCATCCCAGGTTCGACAACTGAAAATGTCTCCAGACATTGTGTCCCTGGGGGATCAAAGTCGCCCCGAGTTGAGAACCACCACTTCCTGGAACCTCCCTCCCGATTTCCCTGGCCTGTGGTTATCCAGATTCTGTTGTGTCGAGGATCGAGTTATTTCCACCCCCCCCAACACACACACATGTGTGCACAGACATGCACACACACACACACACATGTTGCAGAGTGATGCCGTCTACTCCAGGGTTCGGGGTCAACCAAGGAGGTTTTCAAGCTCCAAAGTCAGCTCACAGCAAGAGTCACGTTGGAAAGCCCCGGGCCTGGGTCCAGGCCTCAGCTGAGGCTTCAGCCCTGACCCCTGCCCTGAAGGCAGCCCCTTAGGCGCCCCGCCTTCGAGATGTTCATCCACACTCTCCGGGTGCCGGGTGGGGCCCGAGGCAGCTGCTGGCCGCGTCTTGTAGCCTCTGGCTTGACCGACTCTAGTGGCTTTTCTTAAATTCCTCAAATAGCACCTTCCAGCTTCCTCCTTGTTCGCTGTTCCCGGCAGCTTAAGTTTGGTTAACCAGTAACTTCCTCTCCTCACAGATTTTGTTGCTTTGGTGGGTGGGGCAATTTACTTCTGCTTTTGACAGCTTAGAAGCACCCCCATCTTCTCTTTAGATGGTTTCAAGTTGGCTCATCATTTAAGTAAGAAGTTGTTTGTGTGAGTGAGGGGCATGGAGTAAAAAGAGAATAAAAGGAGGGAATGTTGATGCAGGCAGAGGGGCTAGAAACAGCTAGGTCCGCGTTAGGCAAACCTTGTCTGGCATGCCTTCCCCTCCCCTGCCACAATTCCCCATTTCCTGTTCCATCCCTGAGTTTGCACAGTTTACAGATGTTGGTGTTGAGGGGAAGACCGACCTGCCCTGACCTGAGCAGGGTGGCTGAAGGAAGGGAGAAATGGGATGCAGGGAGGTGAGTTAGGAGGCTGCCCCGGAATCCGGGAGTTTCAGGGTGGGGACCCCACTTTGAACATTAAAGGAGGGGCCCTGGAGGTCTAATGAGGGCCATGGGTCAGCTTGAGCTGATCACAGGCGACTGCATGTGGGCGCTGCTGACACCCTGTGACCTTAGCTTCTGCTCAACCCGCACCCGCCCCCGCCCCTCCCCCAGAGCTGCCGGAAGCTCCCAGGAATGAGTGTGGGAAGCCCCGGGGGTCCCTGGCTCTCCCAGATTGTGCGGCCTCCTATCTTTCAAAGGCAGAGCCCTCTCGTGGTTTCTTTCGGCTCTCTGGGTGGAGGCCGCCTCCAGAGCTGCTGGTTGAAGTTCTTCAGAAACAGTGACTGATGTGATCAGATAATGCCTGGCATGGGTGTCCAGCCTCTGGAGTTGAACTACCTGATAAGGAAAAACAAAAAGTAAGAGCCTGCTGCTCAAGCGCAAGCCATGGCTGCGCCTGCGCCTGACATGTTATCTCTGGTGCCTTCCAGCTGGAGCCACGAACAGCATCACCGTGAAGAACGCCACGTTCACGTGGGCCAGGAATGACCCCCCGACGCTGCACGGGTAAGTGGGATGTGGAGAGAATCACGGGGCTCTGGGCAAACGCAGGTCCGAATTCCAGCCATGCGCCCGCTCTGTGACAGTGAATGGGTCACTTTGCCTTTCTAAGCCGCAGTTCGGCTCATCCGACAGGCCCCTCCGCACCTGCTTGAGCTTCGGGGAGGAGCAGATGACTGTGGGCCTGGCTCAGAGGGTTCCCTCAGACTGTGAGGGACTCGAACCTTGCCCAGATAGGCTTAGGCAACAAAGGGAAACTTCTGGTTCACATACTGCCAAGGTTCACTTTCAGGTTCGGTGTGATCCAGGGACTCAGACAGTGCCTCTCCTTCGTGTCCTTGTTCCCCAGCCATCTGTGCCGCTACCGTCTCAGACGTCCTCTTCCCTCAAGATCCAAATGGGCCCCATCAACTCCAGGGGTCCCTCCTGTGTCATCAGGAGACCCACTTGCCTCTTATTGGCCCAGGTTGGGTCACGTGTTTCTCCCTGAGCCAATGGCTGTGCCAGAAGAGACGGCGCACATTGATTGGCTGGGTGGGTCGGAAGCTGTGATGGTGGCCGGAAGGCTTGGATCTGCTGATAACTTGCCCGCTCACTTGTGATATCAGGCTGGGTTGTTCTCCATCCTCTCCCGCAGCTGCCTCGTTAACCCTTTCCCACCATTTCCATGTCTGGGACACTGCCCACCCCAGTCCTTGTTTTTCTAAGTCACAGCATCCTGGGAATTGACCTGCTTTCCTGGCTCTTGTCAAATGCCTCTAAGTTCTTTCCAACTGCACGCCTTGCTTCGGGCTCTCAGACTTCCTTAAGGAGTCCCCCATCGCAGGGCCAGATGGGACATTTTTAGGGGCCAGATGTATCCCCCCCCCATACCCCTAAATAGTTGCCCCCTTACTGAGTAGCCAAATTACTGCTGTATTTTATTTGAGGATGTGGGGAGGGGCAGATCAGACTTTCTGGAGAAACGAGTCTGTGTAACACTGCCCTTGATGGGACTGCATGTTTAAGAAGTTCTTCCTTATGTCTAACTTAACTCACGTCCACTTCAACTTTAGCTTTTCTCTTGTCCTGTTTAATAAGTGAGTAGTCTGTGTCTATGCCTCTGTCCCTCTGTCTGTCCTTCCAGCCTCAAAAACCTTCTTGTTCCCGTCACCTTCCCTCACTCATTGAATATCCACCCCCCAGCCCCCACCTACCCCAGATTTCTCCATCCAAACCTATAAAATGTTCCCATCTTGCCTGGATGATCACAGGAGCTGCCTCACTGGGCTGACTGTTCTCTCCTGGCCCCTTCATCCATTCCCCTCCCAGCATAGAACAAAAGAGCAATCCGTGTGACCATATAGCAGGTATGAAGAGTTGAACAATGGGAGCAAAAGCCATCAGCCTGTCCACCAACATGTTGAAATCATAATAGCAGCGCTTGGAAAATGCAGCCGATGTAGGTGAACCCAAGGAGGCCCTGGACGTGCCTGCCCTCCCCCAGTGGGTGGGATCCCAACCGCACTCTGCTGTCTTCCGTGGAAGGCTAGGCGTGGTCCTATATGGTGTCATAGCCCCTTTTGCCCACAGAGTGTTGAGCCTGTTGTATTGGGTTGGCCTAAACGTGCATTAGGAGTTTTCTATAGCAGTTTATGGAAAACCCCGAACAAACGTTTTGGCCAACCCAATACTTCGATTACTGTCACATCTGCCAAAGGGCAATATCAGTAGAGACGTGTTTTTGAACTTCTGATCCACATGTGTTAGGCCTCCTCTCTGGTGTCCAGCTGGGGAGCGTGTCCTCTGAGGCCCTCTTGGGTCTGGCCGCCACCCACCCAGCTCTTCAGGACTGACCTCCCACTCGTTGCCTCATCTTGTGTCATCGACACGTCCACTTTTGGTCACATCTGTGATTTCACACCCGTGGGTCTTTCCTCAGGCTGTCCCCAGGTGTCTGGGTCACGCTCATCCTTCCTCTAGCCCACCCTTTCTCTAGGTTTCGGGGTGGCCTCTTTGTTGAGCTTCCTCATTGGTTCAGTAGTAAAGAATCCACTTGCAAAGCAGGAGGTGCAGGAGATGTGTATTCGATCTCTGGGTTGGGAAGATCCCCTGGAGGTGGACATGGCAGCTCACTCCAGTATTCTTAACTGCAAAATCCCATGGACAGAGGAGCCTGGTGGGCTACAGTCCATAGGGTCGCAAAGGGTAGGACATGACTGAGTGACTGAGCACACACACCCCCTTCCTTGAGCACCTGCGCCCCCAGGTGAAGTGGATCCCTCTCCACTCAAGCCCCCTTCTCCTATCTCGGTTACTTCTGCGGGGATCTTTCCTAAGATGCAGCTTGGCACAGAAGCCGCTGGGACAGTTCCCTGAACTAATGAGCTAGTTGTAGAAACAGCAGAAGTGATGTCCAGGCCTCAAAGACTCAGGACAGCCCTGCCTTCCCTTCCTCCCCACTCGGGGCCCGTTCAGTGTCGGGAAGCCAGGCTCCCCCATCTGAGCCAGGGTGTGTCATGTCGTTTCAGCATCACCTTCTCTGTTCCGGAAGGTTCCCTGGTGGCCGTGGTGGGCCAGGTGGGCTGTGGGAAATCGTCTCTGCTCTCAGCGCTCTTGGCCGAGATGGACAAGGTGGAGGGACACGTGACTGTCAAGGTAGGGAGCCTGGGTGGGGGCTAGGTAACTCACGGCCAAGGAGAAGGCCAAAGGGCGATTGGGTGTTTTCTTTTATGACCTTTTATGACCTTATTAAGCAAGTGGGAACTACTTTTGTTCTCCTTTCCTTCTGTGCCCTCCTAGAAGGTAAGATTGTGGTGTCATCTAGTTCCTGCTGTTTTTCAGCACCTAGAATAGTGCCCGGGATGTAGTAGGCACTGGATAAGTATTTAGTTAACACACAAATGCCCCCTGGACCACCCTCTGCCCTCAACTCCCTCCCCATCGCTGCCTTGTAGTGTGCATCCCGGGGCCTCCTTAAGCATGGCTCTTTCAGGCTTGTTCTTTCTCTTTGTGGTTCTCCTTGTATCTCTTTTGGCAAATGTAGCAACACTTAAAATTTTTTATTGATGTCATTGGACTTATTTAAATTCTTAGTGTTTGTTGGATTCTTAATATGGGGCTAAAGGGAGACTGTTTTTACTGCTTTTAAATACACAGTGTTTTGAACTAAGTTGCAGTATATCTTGGGAGAGAGTTTAAGAGGCTGCCTTAGTGAACAGATGTGTCGCGTCAGAATCAGGAGCCTTGTTTGGCATTTAGCTCTGTCCCCCACCCCCAAGACCCTTCCCTGGGGTTGGGGATATTTTCTTACAGAGTTTTGTTGATACCAGCATTTCCGGGAGCATGGTCTGCAGCAAATTCATCTTACTGTTTAGGGAATAAAGAGTCCTGGGCTCAAACAAGCTTGGGAAATAGTACAGATTCTGATTCCTTCCCTGTTGGACACTCTGATAAGTCCTACAGGGAGAAAAAAAAAAACCTATTTAACTTTGGTTAATCCTGCGTGTCCCAGACACATTTGCCTACACCTCTTTGTTGCCTAGACCGCAGCTCCTTATGTCTTAAGATTACTGTCTCCTGGAGTCTACTTTTGGGGGATGCTGGTTTCTGCCGTAGTTTTCATTTCAGAGCAAAATCCTTTCTTTGCTGATGATCATATGACCTTGAACCTAATGTGTATGAGCAAAGTGTATGATAGTTGGGTCCAGACTAATGAGGGTTTCCCAGGTGGTGCTAGTGGTAAAGAACCTGTCTGCCAATGCAGAAGACACAGGAGACAGAGGTTCAATCTCTGGGTCAGGAAGATCCCTTGGACCTATTGTTTTAAGAAATGATCTGTCATTACTTTCAAATACATGTTATAAAGTAAGGTTCATAGGCAGCATGAGCTAGGTTAATTGGAAGAAGACTTGGGATCATGGTGGGATCCACATTGCCTTCTGTTTGATTAGCCCTGGGTTTCCACAATCCCAGCCCTATTGACATTTCATGCCAGATCATTCCCTGCTGTGGAGGCTGTCCTCTGCACTGTAGGGTGTTTAGCAGCATCCCTGACCTCTGCCCACGAGATGCCAGAAGCAGCCACAAGTCATAACAACCAAAAGTGTCTCTTGACATTGTCACATGTGTCCCCTGGGGGGCAAAATTACCCTCAGTTGAGAACCACTGAATACAGAGATGATGGACCAAAGAGTGAGGGTGTTTGAATATTTGGTTTGATAAGGTGGTAGATTTATTTGTGACTGGTTATTTTGCCTTGGTAAGGGAAGGGCTTCCCTCGTGGCTCTGATGGTAAAGAATCTACCTACAATGTGGGTAGACCCCGGGTTCGATCCCTGGGTCAGGAAAATCCCCCGGAGAAGGGATTGGCAACTCTCTCCAATATTCTTGCCTGGAGAATTCCATGGACAGAGGAGCCTGGCGGGCTACAGTCCATGGGGTCACAAAGAGTCGAACATGACTGAGCAACTAACTACAACAAGAAGGACAGTGCGGGAAATGTGTTCAAAATGTTTATTTTGTCTCAGTAGTTTAGTTGGTAGGGCTCATGCATACTGTGGGAATTACCTGTGAGTTCTGCAGTGAGGCTTTGTGAGTCTGGCCAGTTTAAGTTAGGATATTGGAGTCAGCAGTTTGGTTATTTATCTGAGAATAAAGATGAAGAGCTGGGCTCCCTGGGTTTCATTTCTAACCTCATCCTCCTAGCATCCCTTTATTTAACAGTCTTTGAGGACTCCCGTTTGCCCTTTCAGTGAAGCTCATATTCCTCATCCCGGAGAAGGGAATGGCAACCCACTCCAGTATTGCCTGAAGAATTCCATGGGCAGAGGGGCCTTGTGGGCTGCAGTCCATGGGGTCGCAAAGAGTCAGACACGACTGAGCTACTGAACTGATCTGAACTGAACTGAGCAACTAACACACACAGACACACACACGTCACTAGGACCACCAGCCTCGTGTGAGTCCCCTCCCACCACCCAGCTCCTTCCTGCCTGTCTTCCTCTCACATCATGGTCCCATCACACTGGCCTTCCTGTTGCTCAGACTTGCCAAGTTCCTCTTGATTTGGACATACACAGTAGTCAGCGGCAGCCTGCAGCACGTAGCAGTGAGCAGTAACTGGCAGCCAGGTCTTAGTTTGCTGAACTGGGAGTCCTAACACCTGGACCACAGGAGCCAGCAGTTAGGGCCTGAGTCCCTAGCCTCTTGCCCACTTGGTCAAGAACAAATTCAGGAGAGGAGGCAGAAGGTACGAGTAAAGTAAAAAGTTTGTTGAAAAGAAAAGTGCCTGCAAAAAGGTGCATGGGCAAACTCAGAGAGTCGTGCTTTTTGGAAGTTTAAATCCTTTATAAGGGGGCAGTTTTCCAGGTCTTTGTCTTCCCCTGAGGTGTGCACGCCTTAGCCGAGATGGATCTCAAAGTGAAGGCTTCGGGGAGGGGTAAAACTCATTATCCTCTGACTTTTGACCCTAAGGAGCCTTCCCATGCATGTGTAGTGTCTCCTTTATTCCAGAAAAAGGAGGGGAGTGGAGATCCCCTAATCCTTTACCCAGACAGGATTTTGCCCTTCTATGTCCTGGCCATGACTATTATCTTAAGGATATTTACAAGACAAAGACTGACTACTTACCCTGTTTCTGTTGTTCCATTTTGGAGGGCAAATAGAAGGCTGACTGTAAATGCCTTAACTGGAGCCCACCTCTCTCTTGTCTCAGGAAATGCAAAGAGGAGACTAGTTTTAAGTATCCAACCTGAAGCCCACTTCTTCAGCCCCCATGAAATGCAGGCAGAGGCCACATGTAGATGTCTTAACATGGAGCCTGTTTGTCCTCTGCCTCCCTCTCACACACTTCCTCAGACTGAAATGCTCTTTACTCTTCTCTTTATCAGACCAGCTTATTTTCACCTATCAGTCCTTGTTTAACATTTTTTTTTTCAGTTACTGAAATACATGAAACAAATGCCCTCCTCATAGTCTTTGTTCTTATGCCATTCTGACACCTTGCATTATGTGGAAATATACAGCAACTTTAGAAATGGACGGTTTTTATACAGATGTCTTTGCTTAAATTTCATCAAGGAAATCTCAAGGGCTCTTTTAAGGTTGTCCCAAACTAAGTCTTCCTTTAAAAAAAATTTTTTTAAGTGGATTATAGTTGATTTACACTGCTGTGTTTCTGGTGTACAGTGAAGTCATTCAGATAAATGTGTATATATATTCTTTTTCAGATTCTTTTCCAGTATAGGTTAAGTCTTCCTTTTAAAGGACTTTTTTGAAAGTCTTGTATTTTTCTCTCTTAGCCTGTACCACAACAATAATCAAATAATTTTTTTTTTAATTCAGGTACTTCCTGTTCTTGGGAACCAGGAAGTTTTTGTTGCTGTTTATTTTAAAATTAATTTTATTTTAAATATTTTAAAAATTTTCTTAAGTTGAAATATAGATGATGTGGGGGCTTCCAGGTGGTGCTAATGGTAAAGAAGCCGCCTGCCAATGCAGGAGACATAAGAGACCCGGGTTCGATCCCTGGGTTGGGAAGATCCCCTGGAGGGGGGCATGGCAACCCACTCCATTATTCTTGCCTGGAGAATCCCATGGACAGAGAGCCTGGTGGGCTTCGGTCCATACGGTTGCAGAGTGTCAGACATGACTGAGGCGACTTAGCACGTAGACGAGGTACAGTGTTTTATAAGATGCAGGTGTGCAGTGTAGGAGAGCTAGGGGTTTTGTTTGCTGGTATTCAGTGACTAGGTACAAAATACATAACTGTTATCTCACTAACGAGGATTTCAACTCTCAAACTCTCACTGTTGGAGCCAGTGACTGACCTAGAGTGGGCTCGGATCCCAGCCCTGGTGTCTGTCGTCCTCCGGGACTTGGTCTCCCTCTTGTTGAAACCATAGATGTGGTGTAGGTATCTTGTGAAGTAGGGCCTTCCTGGACGGGGGTCGGCCGGCTACTGTCTCGTTAACCAAGTCTGTCTGTCCTGCCGCCTGCTTTATTTGCCACCTAGGGCTCAGTGGCCTACGTCCCCCAGCAGGCCTGGATTCAGAACGTTTCTCTCCGAGAAAACATCCTTTTTGGACGCCAGCTACAGGAACGGTATTATAAGGCTGTGATAGAAGCCTGCGCCCTCCTCCCAGACCTGGAAATCCTGCCCAGTGGGGACCGGACAGAGATTGGTGAGAAGGTCAGTAGACTTCAGCATGGCCCCTGTATCAGTCAGCTATTGCTGTGTAACAAACGAGCACAAAAATCTCAGTGGCTTATGATGTTAAACACTTTGCAACTTACGGGTGGGTCAACCATGACTGGGTGACCCAGGCTGGGCTCAGCTGGGTGGCTCTGGTCCATATTGCAGGCCAGCTAAGCCCAGTTCCAGGCTGTGGGTTGGCACAGGTCTCCCTGTGTGGCTACTTCCTAGGGCCTGGGTGAGGGGACAGCAGTTCCCCAGGGGGAGGCTTTTTCAATGGCAGCAGCAGGAGCCCAAGAGAACAACAACAACAAAAATGTCACGTCTTTTAAAGAACACCATCCTCTCTACCCATAAAGCAAATCACTTGGTTGAACCCAAAGACAAAGGACCAGGAAGTGCATGTTACTTCTGCAACCCTGTGACTAAAAAGTCACATGACCATTGGCACTGTACAGGGAATAGGGGTGTCAATGGTTCAGATGTCCACAACCCTTCTCAAAACAGTGATAATGATAAAAATAATAATACAACAGCTGACTGTTACGGAGTAATCCCCCTGTGCCAGGCACAGTGCTAAACACTTTATACACATCTTGTCCTTTCAGCAAGCCCAAGAGATGGGATTTACTGTTAGCCCTGTGTAATGGCAGAGGAAAAGGAGGAACAGAAAGGCCAGATGACTCCCGGAGCCCCTTCCCATCTCAGGGCCTTTGCACATGCTTTCCCCTCTGCCTGGCTGGCTTGCTCGACTGCCCCCTGGTGATTAAGTGGTGTGCACATGGGGAGTGCAGATGGTCTGGAGCCGACTGAAGAGTTTTCTCGTCCTTATTTTTAGTTATTAATGCAAGCCAGTGGTTCCACCAACTCTCCTACTTAGTGAGCCATTTCTTTTATTTGAGTGAGATCTGCAGTTCCTTGGAAAGAAAAAAACAAATTATTAGGGCTTTTGGGGTTTTCAAGTGGCAAAGAATCCTGAGTGAGAACTGAATTTACAGGCACTGTGTAGAATCCAAGAGCCGGAATGTGGTGGGGCTCAGGAAGGGGCTGGTTCCTCCTCTGAATTTCATCTCTGCTTTTCTGCGGAGCTTTGTTGTTTTTTTCAAAAATGTATGTATCTGCCACTTGGAGATTCCTCACTCTGCCTCCTTAGGTCCCAGTAACCAATGTGTTTACTGGGACTTCCCTGGTGGCTCAGAGGGTAAAGTGTCTGCGGGAGACCTGGCTTTAATCCCTGGGTTGGGAAGATCTCCTGGAGAAGGAAATGGCAACCCACCCCAGTATTCTTGCCTGGAGAATCCCATGGACAGAGGAGCCTGGTGGGCTACGGTCCGTAGAGCTGCGCAGAGTTGGACATGACTGAAGTGACTTACCAGGCACACATGCACCCAGTTTTGGAGGGAGAGGATGTGATTGGCTTGGTTTGGGTCTGATGTCTGCCTGGGGCCAAAAAGCTGTAAACTAGAGGAACTCTCAAAATGAACATGGCCGCCAGGTCCCGGTCTCAGAGCGTGGGGAGGGTGGGCATCTCTTGGGAGGGGTTGGGGGGTTAGCCCAGCGGGTGTCCACTCTGACTCCAGCCAGATATGCAAGTGACGCTGGCTTATCTGCTGCAGGAAGGCCGTGTGGTCCTTGTGCCCTGGTTCAGATTAGGAAACAGTGCCCTTCCTGCTGGCCAGCGGGGCACAGGCTGGATTGCAGCACCCCTGGGGCACAGCCTGCCTTGCCCGTGCGGCTTCACTAGTGAGTGAAGGCCGAAGATCATGAGCCTTCCTGTAGCTAGCACTGTGTGGTGCCGCCAGCCTCGCCTTCCTGACCGTGCCCTGCTCAGCAGCACCCAGCGGCTTGGGTTTTTTTGTCTTTGCGGGTTTCACAGTGGAGGCTGAACCTGGAGCCGGGACTTGAACCCACGTTGGCGCAGGCGCGATCTCGCTGTTACCACTGCTGCTTCCGCGGGAGGCGGGCGCAGCCCTGCAGGGCCTCCAGCGAGGGTCGCTGCATGCTGACCCGGTGCACCCCTCTGCCTGTCTCGGCTTCCCAAGAGGCCCACCCTTCTGCTGTGTTTTTCCGCAGGGTGTGAATCTGTCCGGGGGCCAGAAGCAGCGCGTGAGCCTGGCCCGGGCCGTGTACTGCGACTCCGACGTCTACCTCCTCGACGATCCCCTCTCGGCCGTGGACGCCCACGTGGGCAAGCACATCTTTGAAAACGTGGTTGGCCCCAAGGGGCTCCTTAGGAACAAGGTACCTGCTGCGGGCGCAGCTTGGGGGCTGGTCCCCGCTTTGGTCAGGTCGCGGTGTGTCCCCTTTGGGACCCCTTCGCTTGACTGCACTGGAGATCATATTTTCGAATCCATCCCTTGGCGGCCTTCCAGGGACAGCCTTCTTGTTCTCCACCCCCCCCCCCCCCCCCCCCGCATCATCCCCTGTCCCCAAGGAGCTGGCTCTCCTTTCCCTGCTGAAGTGGCCGTGGGCTGAGGGACAGAGGTTTGAGCAGAAAAACGGCCACCACACTTAACATGACAGGAAATGGTTCCTTTCCTCTTTTATTCTTTTTGAAATTTGTTTGTTTAGAGGAGTTACAGAGGCTCTTCTTCCGCCTCTCCCGTTAAAAAATAAGACATGCCCATGGGAAAAAATGTAGCAAATTCAGAAAACCACGAAGGAGAAAAACAATTATGCATCATCCCACTGCATAGAGATTTTTGTGTTTCTTTCAAGTCTTTTTGTTGTGTATATAAGCTTTTTTTCTTTGTTATTTTTGGCTGCACTGGGTCTTGTTGCCCACAGACTTTCTTTAGTTGTTGGGGAGGGCGTGGAGCTGGCTGGCTAACTGTCTAGTTTCCATGTGCCTGCTTCTCACTGTGGTGGATGCTATTGTGAAACACAGACTCTAGGGTGCAAGAGTTCATTAGTGGCTTCTGCACTTAGTTGCTCCTCGCATGTGGGAACTTCCCAGACCAGCAATCAAACCCGTGTCCCTTGTACTGGCAGGTGGATGCTTAACCACTGTGCCACCGGGGAAGTTCTATATAAGCTTTATAATAGGATTATCACATCATGCATATATATGTATGTATATATATAATAAGCATCATGCCACTTAATCTGTAGTAAGCATTCCCCCTCACCCCATAAGAATTCTGTTTAATTTTTAAATATTAAAAACCTGTTTTGGTTGTGAAAGAAATATGTGCCCATAGTAACAAAACCAGAGAGTATATGTAAAGTTTAAAAAAAAAAATTCTTCCTCATCCTGCAGCCCTATCTGCTCTCGAAAGCAGGGGCCAGCGAATCCAGCCCGCAGGCGCCTGTTTTGTAGGCAGCTCACCAGCCAAGAATGGTCTTTACATTTTTAAGTGGTTGGAAAAAAATTCTGAAGATAAATATTTTGTGACATAGGAAAATTGTATTAAAGTTACATATCCGCTTCCATAAGTAAAGCTTTATTGGATCATGGCCAGCCCATCTGTTCATGTCTTGTGTATGACCAGAGGGCCCATAAAGCTGAAAATGTTTACCATTTGGCTGTTTAAGAAAAAGTTTGCCAACTTGTGCAAACGGTTTGATGCACATCCTCCCAGACTTTCAGTTAGATAAAATAGATACCCATGTACAAACACAGTAGTCTTTTAGGGGTGGGGAAATTTGAAAAACTTAATTCACAGCATGCACATTTTTTTGCAGGAGTGTCATTCTTTTATTCATCTACACACGGATGGTTCCTTCCCTGAATCTCCTCCAGATTTTTGTTCAAAAACAACTTCCCCCATCACCCTCATTAAAATTGCAACTCCCCACCCCCCCATCTCAGTATCCTTCCCCCCTTGCTTCCACGTGCTCACAATACAGCACATAGCATTTTACTCATATCGGTCGGGACCCTAGAATCTGGAGCAAGGATCGTTGTTTTCCCTCACTCCTGCCTGCACCCCCCCCCCACCCCCAGCTCCCGGCCTGCAGATTGCAATGCTTCTGTGTGCCTGCATCCCAGGCACATGTACAGGTGTGTGTGGGGGGGTGGGGGGGCAGAATTCCCTCTCGCGCGCATGCGCTAATGTGGCAGTGTCTCCGCTCTCCCTGCAGACGCGGCTCCTGGTCACGCACGGCATCAGCTACCTGCCTCAGATGGACTTCATCATCGTCATGAGTGGTGGCAAGATCTCCGAGATGGGCTCCTACCAGGAGCTGCTGGCTCGGGACGGCGCCTTCGCCGAGTTCCTGCGCACCTACGCCAGCGCCGAGCAGGAGCAGGGGCAGGCGGACGACGGTAGGGTTGCGCGGGCCTTGAGTGAGGGTGGTGCCTGGTCAGCCCCAGGTCTCCCCTGAAAGTTCCCCCCAGCCGCCCTGGAAGCTCAGGAGGGCATCAGGTGGGGGGCTGGGCCAGGCCCTCTCAGGAACCATCTGGAAGGACTTTCAGGACTGAATTAAGAGGGAGTCCCAATACCTTAGAGAGCTGGGACCGCAGAACTGAACGCAAGTCCCAGTCCTTTCAGGCAGTATATCTCTGGGGCTGTGGCGTTTCGGGGGTTTCATGGTGAATATGCAGGTGGTGACAGTTACAGGCCTCCTGGCTCCCAAGAGGCTGTGAGAGGCCGGTGGAACGTTCGCCGCGTTGGCCAGTTGCTCAGGCATAGCCGACTCCTTGCCACCCTGGGGACTGCAGCACCCCGGCCTTCCCTGTCCCTTGCTGTCTCCCAGAGTGTGCTCACTTTCATGCCCACTGAGGCAATGACACGGGTCGTGAGGTCACACCTGGTGGCTGAGCCTTCAGGTTGGAGGTTGGCAGGACCTGAGTTCCGGTCTCAGCTGCTGCTCTTTCCAGCCGTGTGATGTCTGGCCATTCCTGATGAAGCAGTGAAGCAACAGACCCGACCTTGTGGCGCCTGAATGTGCTAGATTACTGGGGCCTTTGGCGCGGTGCCAGTGACAGCTGCTATTACTTTTCTTGGGAAGAGTGCTCCCCGATACCCCACACATGTGGCATCTGCCAGGTCCAGGTAGACCTGCCCGCTTCCCAGCTACCACACCCGCTCTGTCCTCCTGAGAGCATGCTCTGAATTCTGGGCTGGGGCCTCACCCTGTCTTTATTTGAAGCAAACAGGGTGAGGCGTCTAAGAATCCTGTTCTCTCTTATTATGTGTATGCGTGTTAGTCACTCGGTCATGCCTGACTTTGCAAGCTCATGGACTATAGCCCACCAGGCTCCTCTGTCCATGGGGTTCTCCAGGCAAGAATACTGGAGTGGGTTGCCATTTCCTACTCCAGGGGATCTTTCCTATCTAGGGATTGAACCCAGGTCTCCTGCATTGCAGGCAGTTTCTTTACTGACTGAGCCACCAGGGAAGCCCCATTCTTTCCTTTAGTTGGTTTGAAATTCAGGGAATCGGTCGCAGCCTCTGTGGGCTGCCCTGTGTTTATGTCAAATGGGCATCTGGAACGGATCCTCTGCTGGTGCTCCCCCTCCCGCCACCAGGAGCCTTGACCTGCCTTACCACAGAGAGGAAAGAAGTCATCTGATGCCTTTTCTGCTTTGGTTTCAGCTGTTGCTAAAAAGAGTGGAACCAAAGCGAGATCGCCTGTCCTGCTGTGATCTCTCTCTTCCAGGAATTAATTACAGACTCCCTGGGCCCTGGGGCGTGTTCGTTACATGCTCAGTCCCCAGGCAGGTCTCAGATAGGCTGTTCCCCCTGCCCCCCGCCCCAAGTTGGGGCTGCAGTTCGCCCTGTTGCACAACTCTCATGGGCAGAGTTGTCATCGGGGTGTCTGTGATGTGAAGACACACACATCAGTGAGTGATTGTTGACTGCTTACCAGGGCCTCTGTCCCCGACTGGGGTCATCACGTTGTCTCACTCACTCCTCCTCATAGCTTCTCATGGAGGAGGGAAGATGATGGTGCCCAGTCCACTGGTGAGGAAACTGAGGCTTAAAAGAAGCTCGTCCTGGGATTTCCCCGGTGCTCCAGTGGTTAGGACTCTGTGCTTCCACTGCAGAGGGCTCTTGTTCAGTCCCTGATAGGGAAACTAAGACCCAGCTTGTCAAGTGGTGTGGCTAAAAGTAAAAAAACAAAACAAAACGGGGTCTTGTCACTCATGTGCCAGGGGCAGGCGGGTCCCTGTCTCTGTGAATGCGGCTGAGCACTAAGAAAGCTATTTACCATTTACCGATTTAGTCCTTCAGTTGGTGTTCACTGGGCACTCAGCTGTGTGTTAAGCACTTGCGTTCTTCTCCTAGGGCTGCTGTAACGAGGGTCCCACTAGCTTGAACAGTGGGAGTGTGTTGTCTCACAGTTCTGGATGCTGGACGTCTGAGATCAAGTGGCAGCCTTCTGCTGAGGGCCGGGAGGGTTCCATGCCTGTCCCCCAGCGTCTCGTGGTTGGCTGGCACTCTGTGGCCCTCCTTGGCTTGCAGGAGCATCAGCCAGTTCTGCCTTCGTCTTCACACGGTGTTCTTTTTGTTTGTGTCTGTCTCCAGATCTCCCCTTCTTATGAGGCTCCAGTTACATAGGGTTAGGGTCCATGCTCAGGAGCTCATGTGGACACTTAGACCTGCAGAGACCACGGCTCCACATGCGGTCACATTCCTAGGTGCTGGAGGTCAGAACTTCAACGTATGAATTTAGTTGGTGGGGGATGTAGTTTAGACCTTAAATTAGTAGCGTTCTAGATTTGGGGGAGACAGAAGTGAGCAAGATCCAGGCAAGTCCTGCCCTCATGGAGCTCAAGAGTCTGGTGGGAGAGAAGGCAGTCCGCAGTCAGCCAGTGGAAATGGTTTTGTGCAGCCTTAAGTGCTGTGAGGAGAGCACGTCGGGTATTGGGCTGGAGAGTTTGGGGCTTCAGGCCCCGCAGGCAGCGTGGTCAGGGTTCCCTCTGTGGGAGCAGCGTTCTGACACGGGTAATGGCACAGGCCTCAGCCCGGCATGAGCTCAGTCTGTTCGAGGAACAGGGAAGAGGCCAGTGTGGCCACACCTTGGTGGGCAAGGGCTGAGGGTGGGAGACGGGGCTGGCAAGGGGGTTACCCGTCCGGGTCTTTCAGCGTGAGGAGTTTGGGGTTTGTTCTCAGTGCAGCTGGGAAGCCGATGAATGTCAGAGAGGGGAGGGCCCACATGGAGAATGCACAGCTTCATTCCTCTGCCTGAGAGTTTGCTGGATCCTCATGGTTTGAGGTTTTTCTTTTTTTTTTTTTTGCTTTTCTTAATGTGAGCCGTTTTTCTAAAGTCTTGATTGAATTTGTTACAGTGTTGCTTCTGTTTCCTGTTTTGGTTTTTTGGCCCCAAGGCATGTGGGATCTTGGCTTCCAAGCAGGGATGGAACCTGTGCCCCTAGCATTAGAAGGCAAAGTGTTAACCACTGGACCACCAGAGAAGTCCCCCTAGTGGTTTTAAATAAGCCCTTTATTGAGATATGATTCACACATCATATGATTCAGTGAGTTTTAAAAATACTCCAATATTTGATTTGTGCAGCCATCACCAAGATGAATTTCAGAACAGTCTCACCCCCTCGAGGAAACCTCACATCCATTGGCAGTCACTCCCCATTTCCTCCCCGCCCTCCAAGTCCTAGGCAACCACTTAATCTGCCTTTTTTTTCCTTCTGATTTTTGAGTTGTAATTTCTACGGATTTGTAATTTACAGAGAGCACTGTGTAAGTCTGAGGCATGTGATTTGACTTAGTACATCCTGAAATGTGACCACAATAAGTTTAGTGTACATCCATCATTTCATATAGATGCAAAAGTAAAGAAATAGAAAACGAATTTTTTTCCCTGTGATGAGAGCTCTTAGTAATTACTAAGCAGTTTTGGTTATATTAATCATGTGCATTATATTTCTAGCAATTATTTATTTTATAACTGGCAGTTAGTGCCTCTTGACTACCTTCATCCAATTCTTGCTCCCCCCACCATCTCTGGTGACTGCAAACCTGATCTTTGTTTCTATTTTGTTTTTAAAGCATAATTTACCTACAACACTGTGTTAGTTCCTGGTGCACAGTATAGTGATTTGATATTTCTATATGTCACAGTGATCACCACAGAAATCTACTTTCTGTATAGATTTGTCTTACTCTGACCATTTCTGTATGAACAGAATTCTTTTGTGACTGGCTTCTCTCACTTAGCATGATGTTTCCGAGATCTGTCTGTGGAAGCTTGCAGCAGCACTTCATTTCTTCTGATTATTGAATCGTATTCCATTGTGTAGACACACCGCATTTTATTTATCCATTCATCAGCTCATGAGCATTCGAGCTGTCAGTTTTGGACTATTATGAATAGTGCTGCTGCGAACCCTAGAGGTTTTAAAAGAAAAGTATTTTCTTTTGCCAGTGTGAGATAGCCGGCTTTCCCTCTTAGCATTTAAACTCCCGGTCGAATGAGTTTCCACATGTCTATGCTCCTGTGGTCGGAAAGTTCTGCTGTAAGTCTAACCAGCTCTCGTCTTGCTACAGAGTCTTCTTTCTCAGATTGTCTCTTGGCCCAAGTCAAGCCAAGGTCACACGAAACTTAGAGGCAATTTTGAGATAACTTTGTTTCCTCCACCTGCTTGGTGGGCTACATTTAGGCAAAAAGAACCCTCTGTGGAGTTATCTCAACTTTTTTCCGCAGAAGGAATTCTCTCTCTTCTCCCCATTCTATCCAGGTGAGCAGGGACTGTCCTTACACCCTGTTGGCCACAGAAGGGATTTTTTTTCCCCCTCTCTTCATCCCCAGCCACACGTATATCCAAAGCAGATTATGCAAAACATGGGTTGCTGCCAATTAAAAAATTTTTTGTGTGTGCACGTCAGCACTTAATTCGGTGGTAAAATTACCACCCGGTGCCCTTGCACCGCTCTGAGGTCATTTCCCCAGTTTAGCCACTCAGCCCCCTGCTGGGCAGGTCACAAAGGTCCTCTGACTGTAGGTCTGAAATCAAACTTGCTCTCCTCTCCCCCGCCGCTCTTTTTGCCTCTCTGGAGGGACCCTGACGATAAGGCTTGGCGTCAGGGTCCAGCCTCGCTCAGCTGTAGCCAGTGCCAGTGACCTTGGATTTGTCTGAAACACAGTTTTGGCTCCTTCTAAAGGGAAACTTTTGTTTCCGTGTTGGATTAATCACGTCTTTTGCAGGACACCCAGGCTGGAGGACGTGTGTTTGGTTTGGGGGAATTCTGTCTGCCTCAGATGGAGAACGGGAGCTAGGCTTGGAGTAGTGGGGGGCAACTGACTTCCTCCCTGGGAATATGCCTTATCCTGTTTCTAGGAGACTTTTTGTTTGTTGGCAAAGAGATTGACAAAGTGGTTCATTAACCTTTG